GCCTTTCTGTGTGCCTTTTTTCGCGTCCAGACAAGACGCGATAAATCGAACCCAGAAGTTCGATTGCCTGCCGCCGAACCAGCGCGGTAAGTATAGACAAACCCTTAGTCTAACTATATATAATCAAACTTTGAAGATGGCACTTGTGGGAGTGCAGGGTTTTGTTTTACCTAGATCTACAACAGCCCTCCTGCTAGTAATCTGAGCAGGAATAATCATTTGAGAGGGAAGCTAATTAAATTAAAAAGACGACCAAACTGGAGGGATAAAGCTTTTGATGAAGAAGGACTGGGGAAGCATATAGGGATGGGGAGGAAGGCACATATCTCTTTGAATCATCAGTGTCTCAGGGCAAGGTTGCTTCAGCCATAGTGAGTATCCCTATGAATTATCTCCTGCTTTTATTGTCTATTACCACCAGGAAAAGACGGGTGCGGGGGAGGGCTGGGGAAACTAACTTTTTTTTTATTTGGACAGACTTAAAGAAGTGGCATCAAATTTGAAGGGCACCCAATCAATCTGTTGTCCTAGCTGCATGAAATTGTATTTCCCTGCCACTTCATATCTTATTTGCAGCAGCTGGGCTGTAAGTCATTGGTGATAACATTCTTTATTATGCAGCCGTGTTTATGAACTGTGCCTGGAAAGAGATGATAGAAATATGCAGCAATATGCAAAGGGGGGGAAGGAGGGAGGGGGAATAAATGCTAGTTGCTAGGGCAACCATGGGGCTATTTTGGGCATCAAATTTTGCAGATGATGAAAAGCATTTTCATGTGATGGCTGGTCTCTCCAGGAAAGGAAGGGGAGAGAGGGCACACAATAAACTGGGAAGATAATATTCAAGAAGGCAGCCATTTAATTTTTTCAGTAGTTTCAGCTTTTAAAAAAAGTATTAAAACCAAAAAAGTTGATATAACCTAGTTAGCAGGAAAGCTGGGTGTTTTAAAGAATAATAGGAAAAGACAGCCTAGGAATTTAGAAATCTTCACTTCAACTTCTTACGAGCACCAAGTGAGACTGTTTAAATCTAGCAAGTGCTGTCAACCCTGGGGGTCTGTAATTGCTTTCGTTCATAACCAGTCCGTTTCACAATAGACAAATGCAAACTTTCCTTCCTAAAAAAATCCTACCTGCCTCATAAATCATGATTAGCCTGTGTGCTTGGGCTGAGCCCCCACCCCCCTGCATCAAGAGCTAAAGAAGTGAATTTCCAGAGACCCAGTTGGACTTTTCAGGGACCCTGGTTTGTCAGAGGGAGAGAGGCAGCTATTTTGTCTCCACCTTTAGCTATATAAATACCACTGATCTCTGTTAAAATTCCAAAGTATCTAAATAATGGGAATTGTTCTAGTCACAGATCAATATTTCTAGAGTACCAGTGTTCGTCAAGATAATGGCTCAACTCACTATCATTTAAGGGCTAGTTTTCTGTTTCTTTTATTTTAAATAGTCTACAGTGAATTTAATGCTGATGAAAGGTGTCAGCGCAAGGACTTTGTACAGGATTTGAACCAGGGTACCTCTCTCACGCTACATAGAAGTTTCACCTCAAAGCCTAGAAGGTGCTGAGGGCTAGAGTGGAGTCACTCTGATTTGCACCAAGTGAGGCTCTGGCTGGAGTCATCTGCAGCTGTTTAAAGTGGGTGTGAAATGCTATTAGATCAGAATTCTGCCCTCACATCTGTGGTAGCATTTTACACAGGTGAAAAGAATTGCATGAAGAGGTAGGTAAGGGAGAGGTAGGCTCTCAAACCATAGAACAGGAGGTTCCTCACAGGATCTGTTTGCATCTAGCAGACTGAGTGAAGAATCCCTTTATAATCCTTGTATCTAAGGTTTGTCTGTTCCGTACCATGAGAAATGCTACCCCCATCCCAGTTGCCCTAGAGAATCCTTTTCTCCAGCTTGATATTGCATAAATTAAGCAGAATCCAAATAAAAAATAGCTTATGGCTATTTTGTGCAGCTTGCACCTCACCCTGTCCTGCCTCTAGAATTCTGAATGTATTGGCAAATTTATCCAGGAAAAGGAATTGGAATAAGTTTTCAGCGAGGAACCTCCTCTAAGTACTATGTCACATGTTGGTGTTATTGCTCCCTGATTGTGTTTTTAATTAAACAGTTAGCAGTGGTGTTGAGATTCTCCTTCAATAATTAAATCACAGTAGTGAATAATTATAAAAGTGAATTGTTGAGTTCAACAGTCTCCAACTGAGGCAATAGGACCTGTTTCATTAAATTAATCCAAGTAATGCATGTTCCCAAGAATGTAGAACGATATGGAAGTAGATATCCATCATTCAGCCCACATGTCTGCCTCTTTTAGGTGAAGTATATTCCCAATCTCATCATCGTGTTCTTTCACCATTTCCTTCAGTTCTCTTCTCCAGAAACAAATGTTGCTGCTGTCTTTTTTTATTCACATACAGTGTGCTCTCAGCTTTGCCCTGTAATGCATAGATTTTTAAGGCCAAAAGGAAATATTACAATCCTCTTAGTCTAACCTCCTGTATAACACGGGCCATGGAACTTCACCCAGTAAATCTTGCATTCTGCCTCTGTTTACTCCATTTCTAACTGGCCTTTTGTGTTAAACAATTCTCTCTCATCTGGATTACCTCACTTTTAGTGAAGATGAGCCTAAGGTGGAACTGGCTCTGACCCCTTGAACTCTGGTGTTTAAATCTGAATAGAAACTTCTTGGCTCCCCCTAATATTTAGATTGTCTTCTTTACCTTTTTAAAGCCCTCACTGTTATATTTTCCATACACAAAATGCGAACAAATTGTTTCAGTCAGAATGACCTTTATTTGTTAAGAGAACAAAAGTAAATTTTTCATGAGAAGCGCACACAGTATGTGGATGTCTCTTTTGTTACAGTCTGTATTTAACTGAACACACAATGGGTGCCTGTCTCTGCAGACATCAGTGTCCTTAGCGGGTAAAAGAGGCAGTGTGGGAAATAAACCCACATGGGGGGGAATAATATTTCACCTCAACGTTGCTAGACCTACATGATTTTGAAAACCTGTTTTAGTTCATCTCACGGCCTTTCCCTTCTATCTAGGGAGAATAAATCCAATTCCAATAACTATTGTGCAGATCTTAAAATAATTAAGCAGATTCCAAAATACTCTGGTGAAGAATTTCAGTGGCAAAAATAAGAGGTGCCAAACCCCCTTTGACTTTCACTGGGAGTTGGGTTCTTAATGGGGCTTTGAAAATGTCCCACAATATCTTCAGCATTTCACAAGAGAATTTGCCAGTTAGGGTCTAATTAATGACACTGCATGCTTGATTGTACATTTATATTTATTCTTTATCCATGTCAATTTTTGTAGACAATGTAGCTGTCGATGTACTGGGCATTTATGTTCATGGAGTGGAATTTTCAAACATTTAAAAAAAAACAACAACGAGTCTGGTGGCACCTTAAAGACTAACAGATTAGTGCCACCAGACTCCTTGTTGTTTTTGTAGATACAGACTAACACGGCTACTCCCTGATACTAAACATTTCTAAGTGATTTAGGAGCACAAGCTCCTTTGATAGTCACTTAAGTGCTTTGGAAAATGAGATTTAGGCTCCTAAATTAGTCATTTCAATGCTGAGCTCAGCAATTCCTAAATGCCATTAAAAATCTGTTTGCAGTGCTCTTGTAGTGATGTTGGTCTGAGAATATGAAAGAGATAAGGTGGATGAGGTAATATCTTTCATTGGACCGACTTCTGTTGGTGGAAGATACATGATTTTGAGGTACACAGAGCTCTTCTTTAGGTCTGGGGAAGGAAGCACACTCTCCTTCTCCACACCTGAAGAAGAGCTCTGAGTAGCTTGAAAGTGTGCACCTTCCACAAACAGAAGTTGGTTCAATGAAAGATATTACCTCACCCACCTTGTCTCTCTCAAAATCTGGGCCTTAGTCCCCCAAAAGCCAGAGAACTATGAAATGCAGCTGTTGAGAAACTGTTTTTCTTCTGCAAAGATCTCAAAATTGATAATGGTTAATGACAGCAGGAAATTGGAAGCTCAGATTTCTGGGTACTGCTTCCTAATTTTGCTGCTGACGTCTATGTGAATTTGGAAATATTGTCTCTCTGTGCCTCAATCTTCCCATCTGTAAAATTGTATAATAGTATCTTCCTTACAGGAATGGTGTGAAAATGGCAATTTTTTAAAGTGATTAGAAAACCTTGGGTAATAGGTGCTATAGAATTGCTAAATATTCTTTGTTATTATTAGAGCTGGTCAGATTTTTCAAATATTGATAAAATTTCAAAATCTGAAACAGAATCTGACAAAGTTCTCACAAAATTTGTCCTTGTTTTTGAGCAGCTACTGACTTGGTTGAAATTTTCCAAATTTCAGATTTTAAAAATTTTCAAGTTTCAGAAAAGAGGAGGAAATTGGGGGTGGGGACGGGGGAAGATAATGAAATTCTCCCATCCCTTTTTTTTTTTAAACCCGTTCTAATCAGCCCTCTTTAATGTGAGCCAATAGAGGTGTTGCAGAACTGGAAGCATTGTTTGCTGTATTATTGAGCTCTGTTCCACTTGAGCTACTGGATTCTACAGGAAACAATCACCTCAAAATTGCAGCCATCTTAATATTCACCATTCAGTCTTTTATTACTGGGAGCATGGATATAAACCTTGAAAATAATGCAAATTCAATATATTTTTTTCCAGGACATGGATGCTGCTTGTGAATTTAAAACCAAAGACAATCAAGATCTTGGAGAGAAAGAGAAGGTCAGTCTCATAGCTTTGTTTAATCAAAATCAGAATTGTGACATCTGTTTTCCCAACCCTCATTTAAAAAATACATCACTTCATTTTATGGGTTGCATAAGACAGGAGGCACAGAAAGGTTTAAAAGACGTTTTCCCTTCATAGTTTCTGCAAGTGGTCGTAAGGGAGAAAGAATGACCAAGAGTTTAGGGTGCTAGTCTGGAACTTGGGAGATGCATGTTCGATCCTCAGTTCTGCCAAAGACTCCTTGCGTAAGTTTGGATAGTCATGTACTTTAGACTCTCTAGCCCAGATCAATGAATCCACAAAACCCCTGTGTGTCTGCCACCTAAACTAACTCTGTGCCTAAGTCAAAGTTGCTCAGTGCCTACATTTCTGCAGTGAGGCATGCACACTGCTGCCTCACTCTATACATGTGAACACCTGTCTCCCACCTGAGCCCCTGTGTGATCCACGAACTGGGGGAAGTGAGGTGGAGGAGTGTCTATCTTGCCTGCAGGGCCTGATCTGGCAGTCATTGGGCCAGAGAGCAAGAGAGAGACACTCGAGTCCAGTGGTTATGGCACCCACTTGGGAGGTGGGAGACCCAGGCTCCAGTCCCTCTGCTCCAGTCACTCTTTCGTTATTCTACAGTGGAACAGCTTCAATAGGAGAACTTAGGGAGCCCCACGTCCTAATATTCCATAGCTCTGTGGTTAAAGCATCTGTGTTCAAAACTTTTCTCCCCCATTAGGCTGAGGAGGGAATTGAACCTAGGAATCCTGCATCCCAGGTAAGTGCTGGAATCACTAGGCTAACACTGTCTCCTCCTCCAGACATTTTATATGGAATGAGGCATTTACCTAACTCATTCTCACAAGAGATGACTTAGGCGCCTAGGCCACCAGGCTCCAGGAGGTAGGTTCCCAGTTGTGGTTGGCTAGCAGTCCCTTCAGTCCAGTCGTAGGCACATAACTCTGTGAGACAGGTGGGGCTTAGCGTACACCCCTCTGGCAAGCTTAGATGGGGAGTTACTTGCGTGCTGGCTTTTATGGATCGCTTTCTAAGGCATCTAGTTCTCCCCATGCATTGTAGAGACAGCTTAGGCACCTGGCTCAGGCTTTGTGGATCACAGTGTTTCAGTGATTTTTCTAGGCAACCGAGTCCTTTTGTGGATCCAGGCCTCTGTGCCTCAGTTTCCCATCTGTAAAATGGGGGTAACAGGGAAGGACTATCTCAGAGGAGTGTTGTGGGGACAACTACATTAAAAACACTGTGAGGCACTCAAATACTAAGGTATTAGGGGATGCGGGGGGGCTGGGACATATGAGTATCCTAGATTGATGGCAACTAATAGAACAATTTAAACTCCAGGAATAAGACAGTTTGTTAAAGGGATGAACTGAAAAATGACAAATTGGGGCTTGCAAAGGCCTCAAAGGATTGCTGGGTCTTTCAATGATGGAATTCCATTGGTTCATAGCAAAGCATTAAGGCTAGGGCTTCTCTTTTAAATGCTGTTGTTTTATTTGAAGGGGAAAGGACGTGGTTGTTTGTTTTTTAAAGCTGTTCAGTTGTGTTGTCTTTGGCTAATTGCTAGAGCTGGGCAAACAATACCAATAAACTATCTGTGAATATTTGTTTGAAAAATTTTATTGCTGAACTTTCTATTTTTATTGCTATACTTAAACCACATACTGGATATGGAATGATACATTTAATCCAAACTATTACAAAAGTGGTAGAGATGTTATACGGTATTTCAGCATAACAATATTTTTTGCCAATGTAAGAGTATAAGAGAAGATACAAGTAAGAAAAAAAGAAAACACATTGTTGAATCAGTGTTTACCCATTAACTAAAAATTTGCAGAAACAAACAATTCTGTTTCCCTAGGAAGTCCTTGAACCATCCCAGAAAAAATCGTTTCTGTACATCTATTTTTGTGTGAAGGGCCTTCAGTTAAAGTAGCCTCCCACAGCAAGATTATCACAGTTTAATTGAGCATTTTTGAGATGAAGTTTACTAATAACTTAGCATGACAGAATCAGGGGGTAGCCGTGTTAGTCTGTATCCACAAAAACAACACTTCAGAAGTGGTTTTTTACCCACGAAAGCTTATGCCCAAATACATCTTTTAGTCTTTAAGGTGCCACCAGACTTCTTGTTGTTAGCATGACAGAATTTGCACAGTAATGGAACATTTTTACATTGCTAAACTCTGTGACAATTAAAATTTATTCCAGAAAGCTGGGAATTTTAATATGAGAGATTTTTAGTTGGGTTTTGTTTGTGTACATCATTTTACCTCATAGTTACATACATATTGAATGTTACCAAGTTAGACGAATGTTCCTAATGAATGGTCTTGGTACAACATACCATGCTTGGAGCTAAGCATTTAAAATATATATTATATATTTTTAAAAGTTGACCATACTATAGCAGCAATATACTGGTACCCAATGGAGAAGAAAGGAGCTACCTGAGTCTTGAAATGTGAGCAGCTTTGGTCAAGGTTTAATTTTAAAAAACATCCTTGATGGACTCCATCTCTGACTGTATTCCAAATATATAAATCCAGGAGAGATGGGCCTGAATCAGAGTCCTGGATCAGAAAATCTTCACACTTTGAAATTTGGATCCTGAGCTAGATAGGAATTTTGTGGCTGGCCCTTTAAAAATATCTTTTATAATGGCCTGAATTAAAACCCGGAAAACAAAACATCACAGGAGTTTGTGAAAGTTCAGATCCAGTGTCTACTTTGTAGCTAGGTCCCATCTCTATACATTTTGCAGACATAGGATATGATAGATGTATTTTTAAAGTCCACTGGCTGCACCCGGGTTACTGAGGAGATGATTCATACAATAATAACCACTATTAAAATATCATAAAATATGTATTAAAAGTGAGAAAAATGGCATCTCTGACAAGTATGTCTGGGATACCTTATAAGGCATCCTCTATACAGTAGTATGGCACTTTAAATAAGAATGCATCAAATATCAGAAATGAGTGTTGAAATAGGGGCTGATCCTGGAACACTTGTAATCAATGAGATTACTGTGTGAGTAAGAATCACTAGCATGAGCAAGGATTTGACAGTACCAGCCATATTGTGTTTATTGTAAATGTGGACTTGCTGTAGACCGCAAGCTCTGTTGGGAAAGTGACCAGTCAATCATTTCTGATGCGCAGCCCCGTGATTCATTTTCTCTTGTTATCAGACGTCAGGGCAAGACTCCCCAATAGCTGTCAGCTCTTCAAGTTTCTCTCATGTTGGTTTCATGACTATTAATGAGCCTCCATCTACAGGCAGAGTTGTGGTGAGGCCTATGTTTTTATCGCGACTGTGGGGTTTTGGTTGGATGGTTGGTTTAATCCTCTCAGTGATCATCCCATTTTCACGCATAGCTGGAGCGGGTTTTGTTAAATGTAATGATGATTTTTAATTTATGAGAGATTTAAGAGGCTAGAATTACAAAGTAAGGTCCAGATTCTGGAACCTTCACTAGCGATGAGTGGGACCTCCCTCCACAAGTAGTTCCATAACATCAATAGGCCTACTTACTGAGTAAGGTGCTGTTCATATGAAATAGGAAGCAAAGCTTTACAGGCCCTATCCAAGCAACCAGCTACGTGGTCTTCTGAGACATATAAACCTACCTCTAGTGGATACTATAGTGAAAAACCTTCAACTGGTTCTTATAGTTTCCACTTGGCAACTGGGTTTTAGAACAGAGCAATAAGCCTATTGGTGTACTGGCCCCTGGAGCTACTGGCCCTCCAGCTGACCCAACAGAGACTAGCAGAAATCGGTAGAGACCAGACGAAGGACTCTAATAGAGTCTGCACAAATTAGCTGTAGGAAGGATAGGGGTCCCATAACTAGGTAGACAGGTGCTCAGGGCAAAATATAAAATCTACCAACTCTGCAGGCAGGAATAGATGAGATGTAAATAATATCCCCATCTTGAGCATCCCTACTATCTACTGCATTATCCTTTTCCTTTTCTCTTTCCCACTCGAGCTTGCAGGGGGTGGGAATTTCTCCTGGAGAAAGGGAGCTGCTTCCTTGGCCAAAGGTTGTAGAACCGTGTTGAACAGGGTTCAAGGGAAATCAGTGGGCCGCTCATGTCACAGGGCTATTTTAGTATTATGTCTACCGTGCTCAAAAGTGTGCCAGGCACTTTACAGACAAAACAGAAAGGCATAGTCTCTGCCCCCCATATGGTCCAAACTGACATGTGACAAGTGTAGGTAGCAAAGCTTACAGCACATAGTACGTTTGCTAACTATTTGATTCAGCTGATGATCTTGATGGTACAGGTAGTTTAATACCTAAAATATTAGTGACTCCATTCTTGTGGACACCATGGAAGAAATCAGTTTCAAGAGAGTGTGGTGGTTTGGAGGACCTGTAATGGGACAGCATTCTGTGCATGAGGGTAGCATGGCTGAGGGAGAAGCAGACAACTTAGGCTTTGAGGTTGATATCGCTATGAAGTTGGAGGCTGGGATAATAAGAGAAGCGATTAAATGGGAGATGTCAGTTGGGGCTGAGTTACAGAGAGCCTTGTAAGTGAGGATCTGAAGTTGAAACTTGATGTAGTGGAGGAGGAGGCGCTAGAGGAGAGACTCACAGATGTGGTCAGACCAACAGGCAAGGAAGATAGTTATGGTGGTTGTATTTTGGGTAGACTGGAGAGGGTGATGTGGGTATTTGGAAGGCCAGCAATGGGTACGTTTCAATAATTGAAATGGGAAATAATCAGGAGTATAATTGTTGGGATAGAGAGGAAGGGTCAGATCTTGGAAATGTTGTGAAGGAAGAAATGGTAAGATGTGGACATGGCCTATTGCTGACAATGTTCTTCCCCAAAAGGCTGAATCCAGACGTTAAACTTCATTATTTTCTCATGCATCTTCTTTTAATTCTAAAACACTAGATTCTTGGGTCACAGAAATGTCACTCCAGAGAGTGAGGCGAATTTCACTCAGAGGTTCTAGCAGATT